GTGTGTGTGTGTGTGTGTGTGTGTGTGCATGGTGACCAGCCTCTCCAACTCTGTCCTGCCACTTGCTACATAATGTAACCTGACACCACCAGCTGTCTGTTTCAGTACCAGTTACCATGGTGACAGGCGTCTGATCAATGTCACCGAACTTTTTTTGAAGGAACGAAGAAGAAACAGAGGAAATTCTACTATTTTATAGGCAACCAAAGAAGTGAGGGGGCATCTTTGCTACCTGTATATATGACTCGCGGGAGGGTCGAAACCGAGGGCGATGCGGAACACACCGTGTTGTATTTTATTTATGTCATACCCACCCAAGAAAATGCGCCTTTCAATACAAGATGAGCCAAAAGTTGGTGCCACTAAACCCTAAAATGCAACAACATCAATTCTAACGTCCGGATTCCGTATTCGAATTTTTGAAACGCAGTTAGGGCAAAACGCTTTCGAATCGTTCTATGGAAGCCATGGAAGCCTGGGTCGTACCACAAAGTACGGCCCGGTCTGGAACCCGTTATCGAACGTTATCGCGGCCCGGGTACGATATAAATGACAATAATTACCTCCATGAAAAATGGTATTGTTTTTGGCGTGTCTGTCTGTGTGTCTGTCTGTCTGTGTTTCCGCAACTTTGTGGTCATCATAACTTCAGAACGCCTTTATGGATTGTGATGATATTTAGTATGTTGGTAAGTCTTAGGAAGACGAAGGTCAAGGTCAAATATGGGCCTCCTGGTGGATGGCCTTTGATCTTTTGTCCTGGACATGCTATGGTCTTGACTTTTTGTCAGAAATAAGTGGTGTGGGTTTGGTCCCGCTACCAGCTTGTTCTGGAACTGCAGGGGACTTTCGGGCGAAATGGTAGGTAGGTGGTTGAGAGAGAGATGTACACGTCGATAAAATGCAAATTATGCAATTGAGGACCTAATTTGATTAATTAATGAGGACATTCTATAATAACATTATAGTACTTTCATACATGTGATATATGTGATCTATGGCAAATAGAACGTCAACAGATACTAATTATGCAAATGATGACCTAATTTGCATTATTATTGCGAAAATTATATAATTTCTTAATAATGAATGATGGCAATTCTTTACCTTGTGACACGTAGGCTACTGAAATGTTAACAACACTATGCATATATCATGTTAATTTAGAGGAAATTCGCATAAATAATGAGGAAGTTTAAATGAGGATGTTTAAGTGAAATATTGTAAAAAAGATAGGAGTTTGACACGCAAAATATTGTAAGTTGAGTTTAGGACACTAAAGTACATTATATCAATTGCCACCTTATTTCCATATTCAATGAAACAAAACATTTACATAAACTATACATATTTCATGGAGGTATGAAATCTCAGAATTCTTGTTGGTGCATGTAAAAGTCACGAGATGACATTTGGAGTTCTCCCGTAAGTTTTGATAGATTTGTTTTCTGTTTAGCCTTTCAGATCAGATTACTTCTTTTTTCCACGAAAATGAGTCTGGCTCTGTCAGAAAAACAAAATGCCATACGCAAGGCGTCATACCATGCTACCCATCCAAATATGGGCAAAGATATCCTTCCTTCTCAGACTAATCTTGTCATCCTTGTGTATATGCATGCGCCTTGACGTTAGCTGTTGTACTGCGTACCTGTCGTCTGCACAGTCAAAATGTACGAGCAGGCAGAGCCTGTCCGGTCCCCTTTCTCCGGCCCCGACAGCCGCCAAACCAGCGGGTCGCCCCAACCCCGTCCCGTCCGGCAGAGTGGTTCACGCGGGCGTGTCCGCCATGGCAACGGTGATTCTGAAAAGCACGACCAGGACACGTCTTCACACACGTACAAAGACGCCGAGGAGGTGAAACGTTACGCAACATCTGCAGGTAACCAGTGCTTTTTATACCTGATTTTTACAGTGGTTATTTGTACTATCATAAGGGCTTTTTTTTGCTTTTTTTTTTAAAGAGTAAATTTTTTAGACTTTTGTATATTTTGCTGTATGGGTAAATTTGATATTTATAACAATATTTACATGTTGACGTAAGTGATTATCAGTGAGCGAAATATGCTTTTCTAACAGACCGATCGTATCCGGGTGGAGCGAGCGGCCGCAGGGGTGTCTGTAGCTTCCTCCGCGGCCACCGCAGCTGTCTGGCCGCCGGCATCGCCGTGCTGCTTAGCTTGTGCGCCGTGGGACTCGCCCCTCTGACGTTCAGCAACAAACAGGTAACAGTCTTGGACTATAAAGCCTGTTGTCCAGCTATTTTTCTCAATCTCATCACATTTTGTTTTAAGGCCACACCAGTTTAATTTGTTGGTTCTCGGATTTTTTCATGAAAAAAAGGAAGCGACAGGGCGAAAAAAAGCTGTGAAGTCTGATGGCAAAGCCAGGGCTGGAAATAGGGGCCTGGGGGCTCTTGTGTTAAAGTGTACAAACAAAGGTACAGAAAACAGAAAACAGAAAAGAAAAAAGAAGACTAAATTTCATTATTGTTCAAAGTTAAAACTTTTGGTCCAACACAAAAAGTTCTCTCACCTAGAGCTTTTGACCAGTCACTCTGGTCTTCCTCAGTAGACTGACCCAGTGAAGCTTGTCACGTGGCTTTTTTTAAGTGTGGCGTCAATACTGGGTCAAAGATATCTGGTAGACGATGTCGTTATGTCAAAAATTTCATTATTGCTGTGTACATGTATGTTGCTCTTTTCATAGCCATGATCATATTTCCAGCTACATGTATGTATTGATTTTATAATCAATTGATAATGATGTCTTGACAGGGCTACAATCCTCGATTGTACATGTATAAACTAAAAAATAAACAGTCTGAATAGCAGTCTTAATATTTGTCTATTCATGAAAGCCAAAAACTAAGTGCTGGTGAGGTGTACTTTTAGAACATGTTTAAGTAGATGAAACATCTGACAACATGCCCAAAGGGGGAACTCAGACAATTTATTCAACTGTTATTCAACTGTTATTCAACTGTGCCTGACAAGAAATTATGTGCAGTGCATGTAAGTTATACATTTTGCCTTTTATTTCTGACATCTACAGCACGATATCCACAGGATTGAACAGGATTTTTTTTCTGCTGGCTAAATCAGTTCAGAATAATAATAATAATAATAATAACCTTTATTGTACATTCATGCCCTATCGGGCTAAGTACAGGTCAACAGATGAAATAGGTAATATACATGTTTGTATTACAAACAGTTTTAAAGCTACTCTAATACAATGGTTCGGCTTCTTCTCATTTCTTTGTAATGTTAACAATATAATTTGAGATGGGTTTGTATAGTACAGGATGATCAAAGCGCATAAGAAAGATACATTTTTCAACATTAGGCAAGTATTGGAAGTATGATAACGTACTAGTAATATAATATATTGGGTTCGCTCATCACATATCAAGGACCATATAGGGCATTAGCAGTAGTAGTTCACCAAACCAAGGAGGTTCTAGAAAGACATCAAACCCACCGTCAGAAATTTGTTTTGGTTTCAGCTCAAGTCCTGCAAATTTTTCCTCCCCTAGAAATTTAACACCAAAAATTCTGACAGCATCACAAATTGAGACTTTCATAGATCTCCCGCCACTATTATTTTCTTACTTCTTGAAGCCTACATTCAATAAGTTCTGCTCAAATCTTCGACGAAGTTCTTCTGCTCACAAAACTCTCTAAACTCAACGCCATTTTGTGTGCAAAATGGAGCCCTTCTGTTGGTTCCCATACGTCACATGACCAACTGGTAAGAGAGACATCTATCATCTCTTGATAAAACTGCAGTCTTCAGGTTTTTTTTTTTTTAGTGATTTATTTTTTGGCAACTACTCTGGGGCGGAGCCTATGGGTAAAATTGAATTTTTATTTTTTTTCCATTCAGCGAAATCTGATAGCGGTGATTCCGAGAAGCAATTAAATTGGTGTGGCCTAAGCACCATGTTACATGTTACCATGTTGCTGCTGTTTTTTGTGCGATTGTTTCTTACGTTCGGTATTAAATATTCTGACGTGTGTATACACATTTGTAGGAAATATCCCAATTGTCAACTACTGTTGACGCCTTGAAGCGCGACCAAGACGACTTGCGTCAATTGTCCACCACTGTTGACGCATTGAACCGTGACCAAGACGCCTTGCGCCGCATGTCCACCACTGTTGACGCCTTGAAGCGCGACCAAGACGCCTTGCGCCGACTGTCCACCACTGTTGACGCCTTGAAATGCGATCAAGACGAAATGCGCCGACTGTCCACCACTGTTGACGCCTTGAAGCGTGACCAAGACGGCATGTCCACCACTGTTGACGCCTTGAAATGCGATCAAGACGAAATGCGCCGACTGTCCACCACTGTTGACGCCTTGAAGCGGGACCAAGACGGCATGTCCACCACTGTTGACGCCTTGAAGCGCGACCAAGACGCCTTGCGCCGACTGTCCACCACTGTTGACGCCTTGAAGCGGGACCAAGACGGCATGTCCACCACTGTTGACGCCTTGAAGCGCGACCAAGACGCCTTGCGCCGACTGTCCACCACTGTTGACGCCTTGAAGAACGAACTGGACAACAACCGGCGCATCCCAACCAACACGTCGAAGACGGGTTTTCAAGAGAAAGCCTTACGTAAATTGGTTTTCTGACGTTGGTTCTTTATCATCAAGTTTATGTTAGTCTTTTGCTACCATGAATAGTTAATAAACAGTTAATGCGGTGGACCGGTTTGTCTGTGTGTGTGTGTGTGTGGGTGTGTGTGTGTGTGCGTGTGTGTGTGTGTGCGGGGGTGTATGTAACATTTTAACATTTAACACATATTATATTGCATATTCGTTTTTAAATACAACATCGAGGGTGGATTTATTGTCTAAAATGGTCAAATTGCATCATTATGTTAACTACTATTTGCATACTATAACCAAATGTTGCATATATATAATGATGTTCAACATGACCCATCCTTTGCCTGTTGCTGATACAAAACGTTGTTTTCCAGCATCCTGCCCCGGAGGTTACACAATGTGGCGTGGGACCTGCTTCAAGGCCTTCATGACAAAGAAGACCTTCGACCAAGCGGCTGCGGCCTGTCGTGCAGACGGCGGCACCCTCGCCATGCCCCGAGACGCCGAGACCAACGCCTTCCTCATCTCCCTGTACAAGTCCGTGGGCGAGGATTGGAACTTCTGGTTCGGCCTGCACGATCGGCGCCGAGAGGGAAGGTTTGAGTGGGTGGACGGGTCTGCACTTGGGCCGTACAGCTCCTGGGGTCCGGGACAACCGGAAAACCGGAGGGGCGGCGAAGATTGCGTCCTTTATTCCACATACATGGAAGTCGAGTGGCACGACTATCCCTGCCATGAGCGGTTTTACTTCATATGCCAGACTGCTCAAGGTACTTAATATTGTATCCTCACTATTTTATGAAACCCTACCATCAAGTAAACACGGCACAGCTTCAGCACCCATCACAATAAGCTGCAGATCATCATTGCTCCTGTTACAAACAATGTCTTTGCTAAACTATTCACATCTCATCCCTGATAATTCTGTTTTTTCCAGGACGTCCATAGACAACAGAGGGGACTCTCAGCACTACTGTACAGCAGCTCTCCGCAGCTAAATTGACTTGTAAAACTTACGATTAAACTAGTAGACATAAATTTAAAACTAATTTGTAAAACGGTTCACTAAAACTTAAGTATTTTTCCGAATGTTCCCACAAGAATGATCACATCTGTGACTCACTCACTTTCTCGACCATGACAAGTTTTGCTACTCCTATGCTCCAGCATACGCTATCTCTCTGGATCTATCTATCTTCCCTGTATTTTTGTATTGTGAATGCTTCCCAAATGGGTGCAACCTTAAACTTTTTCAAGTCTAAGTTAAAGAAATACCTGTCTTTACAATCCCCTTTTTGTAAACCAATAGTGGTTTGAGACGAAAATTGTAGTAAATAGAAAAAAGTTCACAGAAGAAATACTGAATAGAATGTAAGGAAGCAGTAGTGTACTATTGTGGATACTCTTTAGTTTCCAACCGGAGAGAAGTTACAGTTAAGGTTTTATGCCTATTATTACATGGTTGACGTATAATCTATAGAGTTGTATATTCCAGTTGTATAATCTATATTTTCTTTATTACTTCACCCCAAGAGAGCGAAGTGTCGTTTTGAGCTTAGTTTACCGCAGGATTTGGCGCTCTCACAGCCAAGGCCCGGGTTCTGTTCCGGGTGTTGAAAAATAATTTGTATGTATGTATGACAACGTTGGTGCATGCGCACATGTCTATAAATGTCACAAGATTTTACTGACTACAGGAAGAATTCTCTCTCATGTTTAAATAGATGTGTTTGATGTTTCTACCTACAAGCCCAGATTAATTTCATTTTGCACGAAAATTGTTAACAATGGGCACCTGTAGATGTCTTTTCGTGGGCAAACTATATCCATAAGATGTTTTGTAACGCACGAGACTAAAAACGTGAATAAACATCAAACAAGAAACCTTCGCCATGGAAACAATTCTTAATAATCCTTCCCTGCATGGAGCGTTCCATGCGTGCTGAACACCATTTACACACAACACACATGTCCGTGGTGCTGAACAACATCCACAAACAGGCAAACCTGTCCTAGGTGCTGAACACCATCCACACACATTCAAACCTGTCCTTGGTGCTGAACAACATCCGCACACAGGCAAACCTGTCCTTGGTGCTGAACAATATCCGCACAAAGGCAAACCTGTCCTTGGTGCTGAACACCTTCCACACACAGGCAAACCTGTCCTTGGTGCTGAACACCTTCCGCACACAGGCAAACCTGTCCTAGGTGCTGAACACCATCCACACACAGGCAAACCTGTCCTTGGTGCTGAACACCATCCACACACAGGCAAACCTGTCCTTGGTGCTGAACACCTTCCACACACAGGCAAACCTGTCCTTGGTGCTGAACACCTTCCACACACAGGCAAACCTGTCCTTGGTGCTGAACACCTTCCACACACAGGCAAACCTGTCCTTGGTGCTGAACACCTTCCACACACAGCAAAACCAGTGCTCAGCTATAGGGTAGGAAAACGTACCTCTCCAATTTGCTCAATAATCAAAACAGTTACTTTGACAGTCATATAATACAGTTACTTCTTTTCTGTATCTCTTACATATACTCAATAACACACGGAGAAAATAATTCAGAAGCAAACCCACACAAACTACAACAATCCCCGAAACCAATTTTATTCAACATCCTATTCTTAGTATAAAGCCATGCAAAGAAGGATTGCTAGTATACAAAGTATAATGACGTAAAGCTAAACCAAATCCCTCTCTATATACTAACCACCTATTCGCTTTATTACTAAGAAAAACAATTTAAACTTTATCACAAGAACACAAGTCTAAGAATGCTGGGTGTATAGAAGTCACACAAAATGCATCATTCAGATTTATCAATTATGTATGTTTTGCGCTATTGAGTAGGCGTTACGTGTATTTGTGGAATAACGCTAAAGAATCACAATACATCACAATTGCATGTATGATAAAGTTCTGAGCTGCCCATTTTTGTTAGAAAGGCAGTTTATGACAGAAACAGGCAGGTAGAAAACCCTCAGAATTTAGCCGCTAAACATCTGCTTGGAGAATATGCTAGTTATAAAAGTACATGTAAGTCAATCACTTTAACTGTCACTAAAAGTAACAAAGTTACCAGACTAACATTGTGTGCTTTCTCTATCTGAAGTATTAGACTTATCATAATAATAATGATCATAATAATAATGATCATAATAATAATAACAAGTTTTAACAACGATTTTCTGTTCTCGACTGTAAATTGGTATTTAATTCCCTATATACTACAATACCAGTATAAAATATGTAGAAGTAAAAGATATCATCATATTTGAATGACATTCCTACCTGATCCAATTTTATTTGCAATAAACAGAACCATGACTTAACTTAAACGTAAGACTTACTTTTTAAAACAAAGAGTAAAAAGACATTGTATTCATAACTACATTAACTATATAGCCCACACAAACTATAATGCAGATAGCACGATTTTCCTTTTTGTTTAGGTTAAATTTCACCACTTATCATCACTTATCACTAACTAGCCTAATAAAGAGTTGGTTAAAATTTCGTTTCAAACATGATACAAAAAAATACTCATAGAAACGAACAGATTCGAGGTGTAGAAATGTCAATCATTCCTACAGACGTTGATTGGTTGGTCTTCAGCCGTCTTTATTTTACTTGAGTTTGAAGGAGAACAGACGTTGATTGGTTGGTCGTCAACCGTCTTAATTTTACTTCAGTTCAAATGAGAACAGACGTTGATTGGTTGGTCGTCAACCGTCTTAATTTTACTTCAGTTTAAATGAGAACAGACGTTGATTGGTTGGTCGTCAACCGTCTAAATTTTACTTCAGTTTGAATGAGAACTCCTGATACTCTGCGTTCCCCTTAAATCCCGAGGTGTACTTCGGGGGGCCGTTAATGGCGGAGCGGGGCGGCCGGGCCAGGATCTGGGAAACTTCTTGCTGCTGGGCGTACCTCTGGGGCTGGGGAAATAAAGGATGTTTGTTATGAACCCACTGTGAAACATTTCTCCACTACCTGTTACAAACCCCCCTTTCTTAGAAGTAGAGCAGTCCTGTTACAGACCCCCTATCTTACAAGTAGAGCAGTCCGACCCAGCAACCTTACTGTATCTGGCGCTAGGAGTCCTGGAGGCAACACAATAAAGTATGAAGTATTATGATCAGTGATTATTAGGGTTGAGTATTATTATTATTTTGATTATTGTTATTATTAGGATCATTTATTATTATGATTAGTTATGAGTTAAATTATGAACAATTATTATGATCATTGAATGTTATGATTGAGTATTATTGTTATTATGATTATTGTTATTACGATGATCAGTTATAAGTTGAATTATGAACAATTATTATGATCATTTTTATGATTATGAGTATTATTGTTTTTATGATTATTGTTATTATTATGATCAGTTATAAGTTGAATTATTATTGTTATGATTGCTGTAAGGGATGGTTCATTGCATCGTTTGTATGTTTTGATATATGAATAAAAAAAGTATGAAGCTCCTCAAAAGTCCAGTGTGCGACCAGTTCATTTTATACCAGTAAGAACATAACAAAGCTGTAACACATCATCAGTATGCAGATCTACTAGACATTGGAAGTAATATAATGTTCAATTCGGTACAGTAAAAAATCGATTAGGTACAGGACCAATGTTAATACACCCCAACAGCCCTGTACCATTCCTGGAGTTGCTATACAAAAGGAGCATCCAAATAATTGATTGCATCACTTAATGTTAGGACACTGTGTAGCTGGTCGGTGAAGTTGCTGAGGCTCTAACCCGCAGGGGTATTGACATTTGAATACAGGACAGAGGGGAAAGGTGAGATACCATCAAGCCTCGGCATCAGAGTGCAAGCACGTCTAACCCTGGGAACATGGGGAAAAACAGACGTCAGACCTGAAAGAGAGAGAGGGAGGAGGGTGGGAGGGAGAGAGAGAGAAAGAGAGAGAGAGAGAGAGGAGAGAGGTAGAGAGAGAGAGGGAGAGAGGGAGGGAGAGAGAGAGAAAGGATGTCAACATGTACACGTAATAGGCCTGTGTAACGATGCTGCGTACCGGTACAGTACAGAACCAAAACCTAATCGCTGAGTGTCGTAGGACATTAGCAATGCAACACGAAGCAATCCACATGGTTCTGTTTTGTTTGAATAAAACACAATCTAGATTGGTCCCGTTTTATCTGAATAAAGATTCTCGTCAAGTTTATTACTATTTTTATATTCTAGATATCATTACCGACACAACATTAGAAAACTATAGACTGGACATCATCCTTAAATTAAGTTAAAGACGACAATACAACCTTAAACAAGACATTCTATCTATTTGGAAGTGGTATGCATCAACTTATGGGTTTCATACAGGCACAGTATGTAATACTAAATGTTCTGCCAACATGCTCCCCACACTAACCTTATTTTACATGTGCCCCTGTATATATATATATATATGTGTGTGTGTGTGTGTTTGTGTGTGTGTGTAACCCACAATGACTAGTTACCTGTTCACCCCCGTAGTATGGCACTACCAGACTCTGGAACTGGTGCCCGTTCAGGGGTGGTTTCTCTGGCGGGGCCCCTGGGTAGTCAGCTGGAGGATAGTTACCATTGTACCTGGGGGGAGCCTGATATAATACACAACATAACAAGCAATTATTATATAACAATCACACTGAGTAATTTCATAATTTGTAGCTGCAAGTTCATGTAGTTTAAGAACTATACAGCAGAACATGAGCAATGCACTTTGCACAAAAGCACCACATTTACTAATTATCTATTTTTACATTACAGTGGCATTGCTGGAACCCAAACTAAGTTTATGCTTCCTTCTTGTCTTTTTTTCTCACAATGGTTAAGCCTTAGCCTCTACCAGGCTTTGGGAAGCAGCTGAAAAGAGTAGAAAATTGGCCAAATAGACATAGTCAGATAGTGTGCCAGGGGGTGGTCTGCTAATTATATATTATAAATGGCTATTTGTCGCCTTCCAAAATCTCCCCAAGGTTGTTGGCCAATTTCTACTCTTTCCATCATCTTCCAAAGCCAGGCCAGTGGTAGAGGATATAGCTAGTTAAGTTGAACTTAAGTTTTTCATAAACTATCATCTTACCTGTTCTGGGTCTGCAGACTTCATGTATTTCTGTGGAGAAAAATGACAATAAGCTACTGTACATTTTCTTTTTTTAAATGTATATAATTTTATACATGTTGTACCATTTGACATCCAGTATCTTTTCAAACATTAAATATTTTGGCTGTGTACATTATCCTACAATTTTGATTGTAACAGGATAATCAGAAAGCCTAGGTAACACAAAACTGCAGGTAGTCTTTAGGTTTGGTCAGTTTGATATTTACCCTCTTGGCTTCATCCACACTAGCGCGGTATGACATGAGGCTGTTGTGGGCCTTTGCGCTGAAATGTTGGTCAAGTGACTGGAACTTGTCAACCTCTACAGAGTCCACCTGTAAAAACATACATAAAAAGACATCAGAGATGTACAAGAAAACATTTTAACTCAAGCAACTGAATAAATTTTGAAATGACCTGTTTTCTTGTGTATCTCATTACCTGGAAGTTTAACCTTCATTGAAGATATCAGAGATTTTAAGCTTCATGGGAGTAGTATTTTAAGTCTTTGTCAGTCTATTAGAACAATAACAAAGATTTGGTCTGACATCACGGTGGTCAAAATTGGGCCCCGATCTTCCCACCTGCAGTAGAACCCGAACCATGTTCGATATGACGTAATTCGAATAGAACGGTGTTCGAAATGGGGTCACCCGCGGTCATTTACAGTAAACCTGGGTCTTCCCGCCCATTTATACGTGTGTACCTCCTAACAGAAAAAAAAATCCACCTTTTAACAAATATAAACCATTTCCTGGACAACTACATGTGTGCCTTCATTTTGTAGTGGACTGGAACATGAAACGAAGCAACTGCCGTTATCGTGGGTGACCTTGAAGATCTCAAAGCTTGCACTCGCCAGCCTAAATAAACACTGCTCATATTCATGCCGTATGACATGCGTGCAAAACTCGTTTAAGATTGGAAGCATGGAGAGTCCAACATATGTCATTGACGGCTCAAAATGACCGTAACGGGTTTGTCCAAAATCGTGTCTTAGGGATTTTCGAAAAAGGACCTTGATTTTGAATTATGAGCAATTTAGTTCGAAAAATGTAAAAACATGCTGTTTTTTCACATAAATGTCAACAAAAACTACACTTAAAATCGGAAATTAAAAAATTCCTAAGACACGATTTTTGATCTTATTCCTAGTCGTCGAAAGAAATAAAAATCGGAGATTTTGGGTAATATACGTAACCAATCTTAAATAGTGTTTGCCTGAAAACATGACTCGGACTGTCTCGGACTGGCGCTACAAATCCCGAAAAAAAATCGTGTTTCGGAGCGAGATTTTTAAAAAAATTAGTAATTTAATGTAAACAACTAACATTAAACCTATGTAAAGACGATAATTTTATTTTAGTTTGACGGAATTTACCCTTCAATACTATTTATTTTCAAGTGGTTTACGGGTAGTCCCAAACAGGCCAAACTTGCGCCTTGTAACCCGATACGTTTTCGAACCCCCCTAGCAATGGGAAAGAATACCGTAGTGACAGACCGCCGTGCATATTAAGTATTTTCAGTGGTCATAATTTATACAAAAACCTTACAGACTTAGACCTTGTTTTGGCATTAGTGGGTATGACCTCCAGTAACTGTGATTACATGTAGGTGGTTCTTGTTTCATTTGGTCAGTCTTTCCCTCTTGACATCTGCTTGGTTTTCATTTGTATCGTGATGTATCCAAGACCAAACCAACAAACGAAAAACGAACTAAGGGCAAACCAACCAAGGCCCCCGTTTGTACTGAGTATCATGTTCGAAAGGAAAGTGATCTCAGTCCAGTTTTATTTCAATGAAGAGCTAACCTAACACTAATGCAGTACTGTACTATGTACAGTATTTATAGTAACCTGGTTCATTGTACCAGGAAATGATCTTGATGCAGTTTCAGCTCACTAAATAGCTTTTCTTCCACTTGTCCTGATACTAGTACAAATTCCCCTGGCTCTTTTTGACAAGCAAAATGAACAGTGGACCACAGCTTAACGTCCCCCTGAAAGGACTGCGACCCTTTCCATGCAGTAAAGTGCGTGTCATATTAACGACAACACCAGGGATTCGAACTCCCAATCTTGTGGTCCAGAGGCAGGGTCGCTAACCACTGGACTACGCACGCGGTTCGAAATCCTGACAACAAGAGAAACTTACAGGAGAGAAAGTGTTGATGCCGAGCCACCTGACCCACAGACTGTTGTCTCCATCCTTCCCAGGGACCACCTCTCCCGGCCACCAGAAGGTCCGCTGGTCCTGCCGAGCCCACACCAGGCTGCCCATGGAGTGCAGGTCCACGGATTTCTGGTGCAAGCAAAGAAAAAAAATGTCATTCAATAAAACGTCTGAAGTAAAATTTGTCAAAAATTATTACTATGACACCAGGCTGCCAATGGAGTGCAGATCCATGGATTTCTGGTGCAAGCAAAGAGAAACATTATATAAGTCATTACATAAAACATCTTGGGACCACCTGTCCACATATTTCTGCAATCAAGGAAAAGACATTATTGAATAAACGTCTTAAATTATTTGTCAAATATGTCCATGACCTCTGTCTGGTATGCAAGAAAGATACAACTAAGGCTTTAATAAAAGTTTCCAGTAAGTAAAACACCATGCTTCAAAAGGGGTTGCACAGAACCTGTTGCTTGAGTTAAATACTACAGGCTGAAACAATGAAAGAGTCAATTGTACTTTGGTCTTCGACAGGAATAATTTTCAGAACCTGCAGCCTTCAAAAAATTATGTATACTGTACTGTTTCAGACATGGTTACTACATTTAATAAATTATTATATATTAATGATATTGTACCACACAGTTCTTTTAACATGTACTACCGCATACATGACATCATATTCATTTATTTAATATGTTTATTGACCTTGGTCCTCTTCTTCTTGACACATTGATGACAGAGGCAGAGCAACAGCAGTAGAGCCAACAGTCCTCCTATCACACCTCCTATGATGATGGCAAGTCTGGCAGCATCTGAAAAACACACAGTGCACAGTCTTAAAATTAGCAATAATATTTCCATTTAGAAGATAAATTACCACTACAATAATTGAATAAAAGGACTACCTTGTGTATTTCTAAGCAAGCAATGCAAGTGTTCTTATTCAGCCAGTGTTTTGGTGACCATCTGTCATCTTCCTGAGGACAATTTTGACTGGTTCACATTGCACAGCAGAGGTGTTCCTGCTTTTCGATGTACATGTATTCCCAAACAAAAGCATTTACATAATCTTACAGTTACAGGTATAAACAATGCAATCCCAAACATACAAGAGTACATAATACATATTTTTTGTCAAGAAAAAATGGAGCAAAAAATGGAGAAACAACTAGTTCTTAAGAGTCTATATCCCTCCTCATCATGGATCATCAACATGTATTATATAAAATAATTACTGGTATGCTATTTCACTGATTTCACCGTAAGTATTCAAACTATTTAGGCCAATAAGCTTACCATAACAGTCCCTTCCTGGTGTAGCCGGGTTCCTGTCTTCATACCCCGCCTGACACTTACATGTGAAGGAGCCCAACGTGTTGACACAGTCTGCCTTCTCATGGCAGTCATGGTCACTGGCTTTAGCACACTCATTGTAATCTGTAATTGGGGAAAAACAAAAACTTGAAACTAAGCTGCATTTGTTGTAGACAATAATTAAAAAGTATTTAACTGTTATCAATTATTTCTTTGCTTTTACTAAACAATGGCTCAGGGATAGATTACCATGATTATAATCAGATTTGAGTGATTCTGAGCAATAAAATGTGTAAATTTTGGGGCTTTTTTTCATTGTAAGATTACTGAAAACGACTCCTTGAATTTTAAACACACGAAAACGTGACTTCAGAACATTTGAGTTTGTATATAGTAGACCACATTAGTATGTATAGTTTAAGTGTCATTGCTGTATCCTGTTCCTTGTCTATTCATGATCTGTACTTAGCTTGTTAGAGCACAAACGTACAATAAAGGTATTTCATGCATTCATTATGTATCATGACCTAAATTCTAAATCCTTTTTAGAGTAAAGTAATCTAAAGTAATTCTGTAAAGCACCTGTTCATCAATACAAATTTTCAATTTTTTTCATGAAAAACGTTTTTCTGACTAATCACTTACTAAGACAACTCTGAACTCACCATCATCATGCCTCCGGATTAGTTTATACTAATCCAGTGAGGTACACTTGATAAAGTTACTCCAGTATGTCCTGTCTCTCATAGCGGACACTAATTCAGGCCCTGCGAGACCAGTGTCTCTCTCTAGCATGGACAAAAGTGTAGTATAAGGGCGTCCCACTCTACGTCTCCCAGTAGGAAGCCACTGTACTAGTCTACCAGCTGGTTCGTTACTACAAACAACATGCCCTGCCAGGACGAGTCTACGTCGTCGGACTAGGGAACTAAGTGCCTTTAGTAAATGTAAGACAGTCATAGAGTTGTGTGGGGCAAATGGTGTTCTGCTCAAGACCAAGAGGTCGCGGGTTCAAACCCTACCATGTTACCGATTGTGAAAGGCACTTTACGTGACTCAGGTGGAATTTCTACCATGAGTGCCTAGCTTCGGTTAGGGATGTCGCTTGGATAGGATGTTAACAACAAACAAACCTATCATGAAAGTTCATCTGTGTTGGTAGTTACATGTTTAAAGTTAAAACTTTTGTTCCTAGGTGAGAGAATTTTTTGTGTTGGAACAAAAGTTTTAACTTTAAACAACAAACAAACCTGCAACTTTGACGTTTGCCTGCATGTTGAGGGCAGTTCCCGAGGATGAGTTGATGGCTGAGTTGACTGCGTTCTGTATGCTGCCTGTAGTCTGGCCACCATTACTGGCCAGGTTAGCAGCATGAGTGCCGATCACACTGCCTGATCGGAAGTTCAACACTCGCATACCGTGGAAGCGGTCCTTCAGTGTACTCGTCAGGTAGACATAAGACATCTAAACAGATTAAGATTTGTGTTAAAACTTTTGTTCCAACACACGAGAGTTGTTTTCACCTGCTGCTCTAGTCACTAACTACCAGTCACTCTGGTCTTCTTCAATAAACTGGCCGAGTGAGACTCGTCACATAGCTTCTCTAAAGTGTGACGTCAACACTGGGTCAAAGGTATCTGGTAAATAGTGTCAGCCACCTAGATTTAAATATCGGACGGGTAGATTTAAAAAAAGTAATGCATGATAGACAAAATGAGAATAAACAGACAGCATATAGAGTGGAAGCCATAGGCCTTGCGTAATTTTCCAAATCTGCATACTCTAATGCTACATAATTCCTGAAAAATTTCTGTCTTATATACAGGTTTTAGTTACTTTATACTTTAACCTTCTCCCTGCTAGCTTTGGTAGAATTGGTAGCCCAATAAAATGTAGTTTTAACTTCAGTGTGCTAAAAGATTATAGAACGACAGTTGCTACATGTTGCAATCATGGTAAAGAAATTCCAAGATTAGGATCTTATAACAAACTGTTAACTACATCCAGGCAATGTGGAATGTGTATTGCAAGAGATTGGATGTACAAATTCCCAGACTTATCCTAATATCAAATCAACTACTGAATGCTTTAAATGCCTTTAAGGCAGGCAGAAGATTACCTCCTCAGTGTAGGTGTAGTCTAGCTGTTTGTACTCCGTGGAGTCGCTGTTTGCAAGCTCAGAAGTGTAGTTCTGTGCAGTGAAGGTCACCTCCACTTGATAGGTCAGAGTGTCCTTGCACTCCCGCCGTTTCTTGTAATAGCGGGGCTTACACTGGCACTCGTATGAACCTTCAGTGTTGACACATCTGGAGTTGGTCAGGCTGCTGCACGGACTGCCGGAGGTACATTCGTTTACATCTGTGTGGAAACAAATTTACATTTAAACATTCTTATAGCGTCAATGAAGGTTAAACATCCAGGTAATATAATACGATACGCCAAAAAGCAGTTACTCAAGCAACTGGATATGATTTTGGAAACGGTCAGACGTTGCAGCTAGTATCCACTAGCTTTCGTCAGTGACTGAGAGACCAGAGGGGAAATGCACGTTTATAAGCACTAACTATTGATTGATATGCAAATAAAGTGAAGACAATTTTTTATAACATTATTATAACGTTCCATGAATATATGTTTTACATTTACTGCACCGATATCACAAGGGGGGGGGGGGAATGGCCCATCATTTAAGGCATTATAAATGATTTATAAAGTTGGGATAAACTTTTACCACAAATAATGAAAAGGGAAACCTTGTAGCACTACGAACAGAAAAAAGAAGTGGACATCATCAATGCAGTAAGGGACACAAGGTCTCAAAAACGACCTAAACTAGAAAGGCCAATATTTGCTTTGGAGCAAATACAGCGATGGGTTCACCCCATTTTACCACATGGCAGGGAAAGAATGAGAAACACAAGGGAAAACAATGATTTACATTGATATAACTATAATATGAAGTAACATACAACTAAAACAACAGTTAGATAGCTATTCCCTACTTTATTGGTTAGGATTTTTTAATTGCATAATGCAAACTGTTGATTTTCAAAATAAAAAAAAAAACGTCCATGCCCCGCATTCCAATGCTGGAGCAGAAAAGCTTGAAATTCCTACCAAAACACTTGAATAAAGACATACTGTCAGTATGGAAATGCTCTGTGCAGGTGTTAATCAAGTTAAATCCCAACAGCCAATCAGCAAGAAATGCTCTGTGCAGGTGGAAATGCTCTGTGCAGGTGTTAATCAAGTTAAATCCCAACAGCCAATCAGCAAGAAGTATAGAGGAAAGCTGCATGCCTATTGGTTGATGCCCTGCATTCCATTGTGATGACTCATGCCCAAACGTGCTAAACAAGGCACACTAACACAGTAATACATTTGCTATAACACAGCCAAAAAACTCAAATAAAACCATTCTAAAAGCCTGTATCACAATAATTTAAAAAAACGCCTAGGGGTATTTGCCCACTGTACCTCCATACCAAATTTCAGGACCTTAGGCCCTAAAATGAAGAAGCTGAATCCATTTAAAAAATGGCAGGAAAAGAAGAAGGAGGAGAAAAAACATCAGAAAAAGCAATATGGGTTCACCACCACTTCTTGGTGTGGTGAACCCATAAAAAGAAGAAATTGGTAGTGACTGACTATGTAGCCAGAGACAACTGCACCATAGTTTGGGTTGGGGCAAAGGACAAAGACAGAGTCAGAACAGATGAAAGAAGTTAAGAATTCGGAGATCTCATACCTCCATGAAATATATTGTTTTTCTAAATGTTTTTACACAGTACACTACAGTACAGAACAAAATAACACAGGTTTTTGTTTTTAAACGCACAACTGTAGCACCTTTGGCCTGAAATAGGTCAGGCTGTAATAGATATGGTCAACATATGGTCATGTAGCCTATTCCAGAGGGAGAACCTCATTAATCAAACCGCACATTTTTCCCCTGCCTTCCAAAAAGAAACAAAAAGTTCTGTTGCAGTACCAAGGTCAGCCACCAGGAGGCCCATATTTGATCTTGACCTTTGGCTTCTTAAGACCTGCTAGCATATCAAATATTATCACAATCCATAAAGGCGTTCTGAAGTTATGCTGACTACATATGTGCGGAAACACACACACACACACACACACACACACAGACGCGCCAATAACAATACCTCCATTTTTCACGGAGGCAATAACCCCAGTGATTAACTGGGACGAAGGGGGATACAAATTTAGCCATGTTTGGAATTGTGTTCTCACCACAAAAATGCCCCCTACATCGGCTGCATATAGCAGTGGGAATTACTCCAGTCAGAAACTATGAGAGGAAGATGTCTTGAAAAAAAGAAAATCTTAATATCCTTGTAACACTGTAAACTGATCCCCACCTGAACATGTGGTCCCATCTCCTGTGAAGCCTCCCTTACAGACACACCTGGCCTGGCCTGACACCAGCGCACACACAGCGTTAGAGCTACAGCCAGAACAGGACGTTTGTTTCACTGGAAAACACATCATATCACACAAATAAGCAGCAAGATTTAATCATGTCAATTATGTGTCGCTGACTGACACCAGCGCACACACAGAGTTAGAGCTACAGCCAGAACAGGACGTCTGTTTCACTGGAAAATACAACATTATCACACAAATAAGCAGCAAGATTTAATCATGTCAATTATGTGTCACTGACTGACACAAGCGCACACACAGCGTTAGAGTTACATCCAGAACAGGACGTCTGTTTCACTGGAAAACACAACATTATCACACAAATAAGCAGCAAAATTTAATCATGTCAATTATGTGTCGCTGACTGACACAAGCGCACACACAGCGTTAGAGTTACATCCAGAACTGGACGTCTGCTTCACTGGAAAACACAACATATCACACAATGCATCAAATTTAGCCATGTCAATGTGTCACTGACTAAAACTAAGAAGCAAAAATAAATATTTATGAAGAAAATGGATCAATATTCAATTTTTATAAGTATCACCAAGTATAAGAATATAACCAGACACTGGACAATCGATGACTAGTAAGTAATTTTATAGTGTAAACTTTAATAAAGTCAGTACATGTATATGGCAAATCATTTCACCTTTTCTTTAAATCGTCTCATTTGCAATACTAGAGTTCCCCGATCTCATACCTTCGCCAAATGATGTTAATCTTTATGACTGACAAATTATAGATTAGATTATTCCCCCCTGATTTAAGAAATAGGAACCTAATTTTCATAAATTATATCATTTTATCATAATCTCAACCAAAAAAAACAGTCTTATATTAACAAACAATGCATTCTAGCATTTCCTAATAAATTATGCAAATGAGGTCCTGATTTGAATAAATTATGTTTAATGATGTTCACCTCAATTTAACTTTCAAATACCACAAGTATGAAATTCCAGGCAGTTAATCATTAAATCATTAAATAATTATAAAATTTTCTCATTAATTATGCAAATTAGGTCATTATTAACATAGTCAATATCTTCCTGTGTTTCTCTCGTTGTCAATTACCAATGTCACAAGCTTTAATTGTCCTATCATGGAATGCAGCTGCTTTATAGAATTTCCCCATAGATTATGCAAATTATATCCATATTTGCATAATTGTCACATAATTATATGAAGCATCACGTAAGCTACCTACATACCAAAAATCTCGACGATCCGTCAACCGGTTCTTGAGTTATCCCCTTTTGAATATTTTCAAGAATATATCGCTGCAGTTCCAGAGCAAGCCGCTAGGGGGCCTAAACTCACATCACTTCTTCCCCAGCACAAGAGCTACCTACCATCTAAATTCCATCACCATAGCATGTCTAGATCATGAGATATCAAAACCGGAAGTTCAGCTGCAGTACCATAACAAGCCGCTAGGGGTCCAAAATCTAATCATTTTGAGGTCTCATCAAGACCTACCCACCTACCAAGTATCAAGACAATCCATCAAGGCCTTCTCAAGTTATCGTGTTGACACACACACACACACACACACACACACACACACACACACACATACACGAACGCCCCTGAAAACATAACCTTCTTGGCGAAGGTAATTATCCAAATTTAAAAGAGCAGATACATGCACGACAGTCAATAAAAATATAGACATGTAACAAACTCTTATTACAAAGTTTCATTTTGTATCATGATGATGTTTAACTTAATAAGTACTAAAGCTATGATAACTTAATGTCATAACTGCCCAGTGTTCCAAAAGGTGCTCAAAAAAGCCTCCAGTTTAATTCCGGACTTCCAAGTTGCTGAGACATGGGAGGTTGTCCGGAATTAAACTGGAAGTCCGGAATTAAACTGGAGGCTGTTTGAACGAACTGGATAGCAAGGTTCAAGTTGGTACCTTTACTACAATCCAGTGTTCCAGCTTGGTTGGACCCTGAACCCAGGGCTATACAGGTGTCAGACCTGTCTGAATACTGGTTACCCAGGCTTGCGTAGCTCACAATGGTACAGAGATGTGTAAAGGCTGTACAGTTGGCTTCAGGGACCGACACGACGGCCAGAGCGTCCAGTGCCTGGAAGGACGCGCCCTGTCTGATGCCCTGTCTGGACAGAGCGCCGTCAAACGCTGAGAGAGTGACGGGAGAAGGCGGCGACTTGATCGTAGCAGACTCAAACTGTGCATTGTTGGTGAAGTAAACCTGTAGAACAAGCGAAATGAAATGACACGTTTGCATAAGACAGTGATCAACATGTACATGTAGTATTAGTGAATTGTACAGTTACGAGTACACCTCCCGACTGTGGAACCGCCTACCCAGCGAAGTCACAGGGTCGGCCACCATCTCCACATTCAAGGCCAAATGCAAACACCACCTCTTATCCTGATTACCTGAACACCAATTGTAAATAAAAATCCTCCAACCGTTCCATTTCAACTTTGATCATTTTATCGATTTGTATTGTACGTATGTTGTATTGCTTCTATATTGATTGAATTTGTATGTACTTTGTATGTATATTGCTATTGTATAATATTGAATTGAATTTGTACGTACTAAGTAATATTGTATTTTGATATGCCATGTATTTATACACTTTTGTGTCAGTGGTAGCCGCTACCAGCCTGGTTGCCACTTGTTATGCACAGTTGCATTAAAAAAAATACTGCACAAGAAGACCACTCAGGGGACCGATAAAATCTGGTCTATGTGGACAGATAGTCTCTTCTTTATGCCTGTATCAACAGGATAATTTATCTAAAGGAACACTAAACAGTAGTCACATTGGTAACGTGGTCCATACGTGTATGCATAGGTGGTTATTTGCCTTAGGGTTTGATTGTATTACTAAATACTATGCTCAGTCTCAGACTGATTTTGATATAATTACACTACTCAAAAAGGTAAACATGTATGTTTTGAAGGCATATTCATGGTTGGAAATCAGAATAGTATGAATTTACTTTAAATGCAGTTTCTGGCAACATATGCATAACTGTAGTAAATATTAATTTCAATTAAGATGAAAAATTGTAATTCACATTTTTTTTTAGTTTTCAAAACTCTTTATGTTTCATGTTACAGTATTACTAAATGTATCGATCGTTAATAAAGAGAGATTGTAGAAAACATACTTATCATTTTTTTTATTCCAACATGTAATCATCAGACGTGGTGACGACACACTCAAGTTCTTTCAACTTATATTAAAATAACTTAATGCCTCCACCAACACGGGACAAATACATGACAGGACAATACTCATTTACACCTGAGCTAAGTGAGGAAAGTCGTGTAAAGTGCCTTTCCCAAGGGCACAAGATCGGTGGCATGTTAGGACTCGAACCCGGGACTCTTAGTTCCGAGTCGCGCACTCTGCCGCTACGCCACACGACACCACACCATACTTATTTTGGGATGGCTTACCTTGAGAACAGCATTGGTACTGTTACTAGCAGGGATGTCAGTGTTCCCTTTGTTTTCAAACGTGTAGTCAAACCACATGTTAACATTCTCAGCTGGACTGAAGGTGTTGGGGCTGCGAGAGTTCACCTTCACTGTACCGGCTTCAACAACTGTAAAGAAATGAGTTTAAAGAAAGGAAAGGAAAAACAGCAGTTAGTTTATTTTAATTCAGTTGTAACAAGACAATACATTGACCACCCAGGCAGCATGGCTGATTTCGGGTGCCAAGATATACAAAATTAAGCATACACAATAAAACATACTAATACAGTAAACTAGCAAGTACAACATTAAGCTAAGATCAATCAATTAACAATATAAAATAACAACAGACTTAAGTACAGAGCATAATAAAAATATTCAAACAAGATAATAATAATATACTGTTTTGGAGATCAGAGGTCATAGGTAATATAATACAATATGTGAGGAAATATATATAACGCAAGATCATATGAGGCTATCTTATGTGGTATCACTGGGAGGACCATCAAAACGTTTTGTGGCGGAAATAAATGTTTCAAATGCCTCAAATAATTGTTTGTGTGAATGTTACAGCCTGGTGGCCCCAGTAGTAGAGCAGATTCGGGAAGGGAAATGAATTATATGAAACAGCTACATGTACATGTATGGAGAGTTATGTTTTACAGTCATGTAGTTCTGTATCTTTATCATTCTGTACATGTATAGCCAGTAGAACTGACCTTCTGCTTCTAACACATCAGCTTCACAGGCACGCGGCGCGGCAGTATCTGACTACATTACACTGAACGACTTGTTTCACCTAACCCTTCAGCATCTAACTCTAAACATTGTTTAAAGCTAATGATACTGCCCCTACTGTACTTGGTGACAGCAAGTTCCACTTGCGATAGTTCTAGGAAAGAATGAGTTTTTTTTAACACCTCAGTCCTTGGTTGATTGAAGGCATGACTATTTCTTCCGTAAATAATTTCATCAGGTTGGTAAAACAACTGAATAGCAAAGTTCTTTCTATCACAACCATTTATTTTTCAAGCCGACGTTTCGATGACCTTCTGTCTTCAGAATTGCCCTGATGAAGATGACAGAAGGTCATCGAAACGTCGGCTTGAAAGATAAATGGTTGTGATAGAAAGAACTTTGCTATTCATGACTATTTCTTGTTATGTATCCCAAGGCGTTATGTTTCTCCCTTCAAAAGAGACATTTGGTACCAATGTTAACAACTTAAAATGAGAAATATCATCAGACAGTTTGAATGCAACTGAAGATGTGTTAAGATCTTCTCAGTTTATTCTTACCCACGGTTCCTGGTGGCAGTGTACCAGTTGAAGATGTTGGCCTGGCAGTTGCAGGAGATGCTGCAGCACTGGGGGCTACTGATGCACTTGGTTGTACCACTGGTGCTGTAGGTTGTACCACTGATGCACTTGGTTGTACCACTGGTGCTGTTGGTTGTACACTATCAGTTAGTTCTGTGCTTGGTGCTGTTGGTTGCACGGTTGGTGTTAGTTGGGCATCTGGTGATGTTGGTTGCACCACTGATGCTGTTGGTGTCACGCTAGGTGTTAGTTGTGTATCCGTTTCTGTTGGTTCCACACTTGGTGTTACCTGTACACCTGTTGCAGTCGGTTGTACACTCGGTGTTAGTTGTACACCTGTTGTTGTTCGTTGTACACTTGGTGTTAGTTGTGCCCCGGTGGAAGTTGGTTGTAGACTTGGTGTTAGTTGTACACCTGTTGCTGTTGGTGTTAGTTGTACACCAGGTCCTGTTGCTGTTGGTTGCACACTTGGAGTTAGTTGTACATCGGTAGTAGTTGGTTGTATACTTGGTGTTATTTGTACACCTGTTGCTGTTGGTTGTACACTAGGTGTTACACTCGGTGTTAGTTGTACGCCTGTTGCTGTTGGTTGTACACTCGGTGTTAGTTGTACATCGGTGGTAGTTGATTGTATACTTGGTGTTATTTGTACACCTGTTGCTGTTGGTTGTACACTAGGTGTTACACTCGGTGTTAGTTGTACGCCTGTTGCTGTTGGTTGTACACTCGGTGTTAGTTGTACGTCGGTGGTAGTTGGTTGTATACTTGGTGTTAGTTGTACACCTGTTGCTGTTGGTTGTACACTAGGTGTTACACTCGGTGTTAGTTGTACGCCTGTTGCTGTTGGTTGTACACTCGGTGTTAGTTGTACATCGGTGGTAGTTGGTTGTATACTTGGTGTTAGTTGTACATCTGTTGCTTTTGGTTGTACACTTGGTGTTAGTTCTACATCAGTTGAAGTCGGTTGTATACTTGGTGTTAGTTGTACACCTGTTGCTGTTGGTTGCACACTTGGTGTTAGTTGTACACCAGTAGAAGTTGGTTGCACACTTGGTGTTAGTTGTACACTGGTTGCCGTTGGTGTTAGTTGTACCTCAGTGGAAGTTGGCTGTACACCTAGTGTTAGTTGTACTCTGGTTGCTGTTGGTGTTAGTTGTACACCAGTGGAGGTTGGTTGTACACTTGGTGTTAGTTGTACACTGGTTGCTGTTGGTGTTAGTTGTACCTCAGTGGAAGTTGGTTGTAAAGTTGGTGTTAGTTGCACCCCAGTGGACGTTGGCTGCACACTTGGTGTCAGTTGTACACTGGTTGTTGTTGGTGTTAGTTGTACCCCAGTGGAAGTTGGCTGCACACTTGGTGTTAGTTGTACACTGGTTGCTGTTGGTGTTAGTTGTACACCGGTGGAGGATGGTTGTACGGTTGGTGTTAGTTGTACCCCAGTGGAAGTTGGTTGTACACTTGGTGTTAGTTCTGCACAATGTACATCAAATGTACACCTCATTCCACACCAGTACAAAGTACTTGTTAGTGCTTGATATCGAATTGTACCATCCACCGTAACAGTCAGTTAGTATTGTAACTACCAACATATTACAACAAAACATCAGGAATTTATAGATTAATTTTACACTCCCAGAGTGTAGCATTAACCAGAATGGCAATGAATTTAATATTACAATGATAAAGGCTTGTCTTGATTAATAAACACTGAGTCTCAATCAGACACATCTCAGAAATTCATATCACAAAGTGTGTATCAAACATTCTTAGAAACAAGAAAAAAGATCGTTGAAGAGATTCATTTGTCACGTATAGATACAGTTACTAGAAGATTCTTCCAACAGTGACAAGTTTGAAGGGTAAAGATACTGACCTCCAAATTTTCGATGACTATCAGTCCATCTTGTTCACGGAGTGGCCCGAGACTTGCATCGGTGCACATACAGTTGTAGGGTGCCAAGTTGAACCGGACCGAAGGTTGGGAACTCCCCAAGACTTACTTACCCTTGCTCCGGAGGGAGGCAACAAGGGGTGGGGCCCTTTCAGACCGATGCAAGTCTCGCGAGACTAGGCCACTCCGTGAACAAGATGGACTGATAGTCATCGAAAATTTGGAGGTCAGTATCTTTACCCTTCAAACTTGTCACTGTTGGAAGAATCTTCTAGTAAGTCAATCCAAAAAAAAGATATGACACAACTTGTTGAATTCATGTAGCACACATTCTCTTTAACTTTCCCAGTGCAGCTATCAGATCGGACCATACGAATTTAGTAAAGATGTAACCTGTGGGTGCTACTGATGGCGCTGGGGAAGGTGCTGCTGTTCCCTGCTGCCCTGCAGTTGCAGATGGTTGCACCACAGGTGCAGTAGGTCGCACAGTTGACGTTGGTTGTACTACTGGAGCAGTAGGTTGCACACTTGCAGATGGCTGCACAACAGGGGCAGTTGGCTGCACACTTACAGATGGCTGCACAACAGGGACAGATGGTTGCACACTTGCAGTTGGTTGCACAACTGGGGCAGTTGGTTGCACACTTCCCGATGGCTGTACTATTGGAGCAGTGGGCTGGACACTTGCAGATGGCTGCACAACAGGGGCACTTGGTTGCACACTTGCAGTTGGTTGCACAACTGGAGCAGTAGGTTGCACACTTGCAGTCGGCTGTACAACTGGAGCAGTGGGTTGCACACTTCCAGGGGCAGTTGGTTGCACACTTGCAGTTGGTTGTGCTCCAGTTGCAGTTGGTTGTACTACTGGAACAGTGGGTTGCACACTTGCTGTTGGTTGTACTCCAGGTGCAGTAGGTGCCACAGTTGGTGCTACAGTAGGTGCAGCTGTAGGTTGCACCCCTGGCCTGACAGACAGGGATGGTGGTGCTGCAGTGGCTCTTGCTGTCCCTGGAAAACAACAGTAAACACATTTTTTCTAGCAAATTAAAGATGGTGCAGGGGGCTTAAGTCCACTGGTAGTGGTGTGTGTTAAACTCCCATACTCTTCCCCAAATGCTGAGTGTTAAGCAGAGAAAGCAGCAGGGGGGCTTGGCAAATGTTCTTCAACACGTACAACGTCTTTATATACACCGGAATAAACCTTACAAGGTTTCTGATTTTAAAAACAAATGTGTAGTCCTTGATCTACGTGTGCATGCTAGGCACTATTTTCATTTTCACTGCTACATGTATGGAGTTGAACCAACCTGCTACAGAAGGCTGCACAGTGCCAGCAGTGGAGGGCCCACGTACAGTCGGAGCTACAGTAGGTGGTACAGTGGGTGGTACAGTAGGTGGTACAGTGGGTGGTACAGTAGGTGGTACAGTGGGTGGTACAGTGGCAGTGGGTGGTCGTCATACTTGCTGTTGGAGGCACTGTGTTCAAAATGATTAGCAGAATATGGAATCAGTCAGAGATATCCAGGTTTTTCTCCCAAACCGCAGACAAGGTACATTGTATTGTCTTGTAATTGTAATTTACACATTACATAATTATTCTCTAGTTGCATTAAGTTTAGTTCTAAGACAAGCTTGGCTCACCTGAAAATGCAGTTGTGGGTGGTGCTGACGATGGCCTCGCTGTTTTGGAAACAAAAACAGAAACAACTTAAACTACAGATTATTGAAGTAGTGGATTGCTCATTCCTTAACAGAGGCAGGAGTTGAACAGCCAAAAAGGTGGGTAATTATTTGTGTACGGTTCAAATCTTATCACAGTGCTTACATATGTTAACACAGGTTCTCCCAGGTCGGGTGCTGTCAGTAGAGTTGTCCAAGAAGCCGTCAGGACAGCTGCAGTTGAACCCTCCAACTGTGTTCTGACAATTTGCATACGGAGAACAGTCGTTGTCTGTCGCATTAGCACACTCGTTGTAATCTACAAAAAATTGAATTCAGATATTTTAATATATCAACTCAACTGCATGGTCTGTAGCAAGTGAAACAGAGCCTAATAATAAGTTAAACACTCTTCAAACAGTGGATGAAGAAAAGGCAACAATCTAAATCAAAGTGTAACAGCCACTGATAAGAAAATGCAGTAACTGTAGTTATAAAGATCAGATCAATACACAGTCAAAATTGCTCACATATTTAATGGCAAAGGGCTACAACCCCTTCCATGATACTCAATATGAAATATTACTCCTTTTTTAAAAATTAACAGATAAGTAAAAATTTGCTGCCCAATGTTTCACTAGTACTACACATACAATTGGCACATTTTGTCAAAACAAACATGCTATGGGGAAACTAGGCACGAAAACATACCAGCAATAGATTTTGAACTTGAATGGCATTATTAGACTTTAAGTTATTATAAAAGCTTAAGGAGTGAAAACATGATACAGAAATGACCATTCCACATAACCTACCAGTAATAGCCAGTGCAGTTGTGTCTATGCCCAGTGATGAGTCGTTGAGCGCTGCGGAACCGTTTTGAAAGGCTCCTGACATGTCGCTGGGGGTGAGGTTAGCGTCGCTGGCCACGTCAAGCGACACGTCAGCCTTTACGCTGCCCGGACTGAACCCCAGAACTGTCACTCCTACAAACGACGTTCTCACCGTGCTCTGCTTAAACACCTTTGTGATCTGTTGAAGGAAAGACAGTATAATAGCAATGTTCTTTTTATCACAACCATTTATTTTCCACGAGCCAACGTTTCGATGACCGTCTGTCATTTTCATCAGGGCAATTCTGACTGGTTTACTGTGCACTGACACAAGATGTTACTTGGTGCATAGTGCACTAAGGGTGTTAGTTACATAGTTCATAGTGCACTTAAGCTAGTTTTTGTTCTGTTAACAATACATTCCGGAACTTAGTGTAATTGTGACATACATACTAGGCATTCTTACATCATACGGAAATATGCGGTTCAAAGTGTTTCTATATATAATATAATATTTGTTACTGACAATACTGAGCTCTCCTAGTCCCAAATAGAAATTATTAAAAGTCTTGTTACATATGTATTGTTAGGACTATTACTAAATATTGTACGTTTGGGAATGCATCAGATCCTATAGCAGTAACATCTACACGTATGCTGCAATGCAATGTGAACCAGTCAGAATTACCCTGTGGAAGGTGACAGACGGTCACCAGAATGTTGGCTGAATAGAAGACTTGGCTGTGTAAAAAGAGCCTCTGTTGCTCAAGACAGGTGTTTCAATTCTACAGGTGTTTACAATTTACTAAATTGTACAAAATAATGAATGTTATAATTTTATTTTGATTAATAGTAATCTGTTGCACACTAACGTAATGCTACACTAACTACAAGCAACAATGGAAGAAAAAAGCACATGCAAAAGTATGTAAGAGGAACATAACTGAATCAGAAAGAAAACAAGTATGCATTGTCATATTGAAGGTAAAATGTTTCACATAGAGGTTATGCTGACTCTTTATTAAATACATGTATGTTATAATAATGGACTATGCAATTAAAGTCAATTAGATTTTCATCCCATTGAATCAACACTGTTGATTCACTGCTTGGTCTGAATGCTCAAAATATCCTATTGAATGCCATGATTGTAATCTAAATTGAACAATGTTATAAAGAAAATGTTGATTTGGTTATCATACTTACCGTAATGACAACAGTACGTTGAGTAGAGATGTACACAGCTGATGTTGGGTTGGCCAGGTCAGCGCTGTACGTTAGTGATGTGAACCTCATTTCAGAGCGGAACTTGGAGGTAGCTAGTCAAGGACAGAAAACAACGTCAAGTTCAAGAAAAATGTAATTTTCCTTTTAACTTAAAATCCCTCCTTTATAACCAAATGTTGCATTAAAAGAAAAACAAGTTGCTTCTTATTTTGAAGCATGTGCTTTCTTCAGCAATCTGTGGCAAAAAATGTAGAGGAAAATAATCCAGTCTCATTACTAATGAACTGTGACAGTCTTCCTTACTCTAACCTGCATTCGCCAGAAAGTGAACATGTGCACGACCTGAGGTGCAAAGTTCAGACAAAGCACCTCGCATGTAAATTATGAAATTAATGTAAATTTTGATACAAAACTCAAGTAAAAGTGTTTTTGTTGCATCATATGTTTCTTTGAAAAATTGGATAATCATATGTTTATCTACAAGTCATGACAATTACAAATACCATTATCCCCATACATGTACTACGATCTTGCCAAAACAGAAGACATGAGGCAATATTGTCACATCATCTACATGTAATATCACAGAGAGGTTCACAAGAAAATATAATAATGCACTTACAGACGCATGCCCCATGGTTGAGTTTATATCCAGGTTTACAGTCACACTCAAAACTCCCCTCCAGGTTCTTACACACTTGGTTCCCTGAGGTGTCACATGGATTTGTGCTGCATTCATTTATATCTGAAACAAAACAAAAACAATTGACATTGAGACGACAAGATGCATTGCCATTGAGAAGCTAGCAAACACTAAACTCACACTAAACATGGAAAGAACTAATTCAAATGTGGAATTTCTGACCAATTTTTAAGACAATAATTTTTCAACATTTCGTACAATTCTTACACAATGTGTATAGTATTACATGAAATAGAAACAAAGATGGCTTTTTCAGAAATTAAATCCTAAGCTTAACTGTACATACTATCCATAGCTTCCAACACGGTGTCCTAAGTTTACAAGTCATGTAGACATCTTAAAAGTTGTATGTGGCAAACTTTAAGAACCAACAAGATACTGTGTGCAGTTACTGTTACTTCAACAGTCACAATGCCAACAGTCAGGATGCCAACAACAACAGTCAGAAATTCAAAGTCTTTACACATGTCCTTACATTGTACATGACATCATTGCTAATTGAAAAGTGCCATACATTAAATTGCAAAAGGATTAAATCTCTTCATCTTGAACTCTGAACGAAAAAGTCTGGGGCCGTTGCCTTGTAGGTAGCTATAAATGGTGATGATAATAATGACAGTGGTATAAAGTCAATGGCAAGTGTTTGTAGTGAACAAATAAAAAAAAAACTGGTGTACGTGGTTACCTGTACATGTCTGTCCATCTCCTGTATATCCATGATCACATTCACATGTGGGAGTACCCGACTCACGATGGCAGGTGGCATCAGCATGGCAGGCAGGGCTGCATATACCCGTCACTGAAAATCGTACATTGAAAATGTAATGTAATAAATTTGCGAGCATAAGGCAAAAGATAAGTCAGGGTATATGGAAAACTCAGTTTCTGCATACCTATGTATTGCTGTCTTATTTAAGATACAAGCTGTTTTTCACTTTGCATCTTTTCACCAGATTTTGTGTCTTCAGAAGAAACTTTCATAAACCATGTTTAGAGTTAAAACTTCAACAAATTTCTCTCCTCTAGAACTTCCAACCAGTCACTATCGTCTTCTTCATAAACCATTTTAAGCTCTTTCTATTTCTAGCTGTCAATCTGTTCAACGTGGCATTGTGCTTTTCATTCATAGTACAAAAGGATTTGAACAAAATACTTTAATCTTACTAAAACACAAAGAAATATTCATTAAATCTTATTGAAAAAAATGTTCACAGTGACACTGACAGTGTAACCCATAAAACCACCTAACACACCAGTGAAGTAAGTATTAAATAAATATCTAATTTCTCAGTCAACTGTCCTAACTAAAGCTACATGTACCATGCAACATTTATTTATTTATTGATCTTAAAAACGGTTGGGTGGTACCTTCAGTTTAGGACAACTGATTTCCAAGGTAGCCCAACATGAGACAGAACAAGTTACAAAGGACATACATGTAGACAATCAATTACTTAAACATAGAGATAATGAATAACATGAACAAGGAGTACAAGTAGTCAATCATTGGAAACAGGACATGTCAACATATACTCACAGCGTGGACAGTTTTTCTCCAGCCCCCCTCCCGCTCCCACAGCCTTCAGCTCATAACACACGTCGTTGTTACACGGCTGGTAGTCCAGGAAATCTGGCACGTCCGCTATCACAGCGCTGATGCAGACATGGGTGAAGTCACCACAGTTGGACTCTGGGACTTGGAGTGGTGCAATCACGTTCGTCATTCCTATCTGTATTTGGGGGAAATAACAAAAATGATAAAAAAAATATTTTTTGTACATTCAATGCCTTGAAGAGCTTGGTACAAAAAGCGTGGTACATGTTGTACATGTCATCTAGCATATCATTTAACACATACATGTTACAAATACACACTATATTTGTTGGTTATTATGGGTTCACCACACCACGAAGTGGTGGTGAACCCTTATTGCTTTTTCTGATGTTTCTTCTTCTTCTTCTTCTTCTCCTGCCATTTTTTAAAATGGATTCAGCTTCTTCATTTTAGGACCTAATAAGGTCCTGAAATTTGGTATGGAGGTAGAGTGGGCAAATACCCCTAGGCGTTTTTTAAATTTTTGTGATACAGGCTTTTAGAATGGTTTTATTTGAGTTTTTTGGCTGTGTTATAGCAAATGTATTACTGTGTTAGTGTGCCGTGTTTACCACGTCTGGGCATGAGTCATCACAATGGAATGCAGGGCATCAACCAATAGGCATGCAGCTTTCCTCTATACTTCTTGCTGATTGGCTGTTGGGATTTAACTTGATTAACACCTGCACACAGCATTTCCATACTGACAGTATGTCTTTATTCAAGTGTTTTGGTAGGTATTTCAAGCTTTTCTGCTCCAGCATTGGAATGCGGGGCATGAACGTTTTTTTTTTTATTTTGAAAATCAACGGTTTGCATTATGCAATTAAAAATCCTAACCAATAAAGTAGGGAATAGCTATCCAACTGTTGTTTTAGTTGTATGTTACTTCATATTATAGTTATATCAATGTAAATCATTGTTTTCCCTTGTGTTTCTCATTCTTTCCCTGCCATGTCGTAAAATGTGGCTGTATTTGCTCCAAAGCAAATATTGGCCTTTCTAGTTGTAAGTTTATCTCATCACACAATATGTCATGACCTCATGGGTTGGCCATGTTTGTCCGCCATCTTTGTTGCTCCAGTTAGACCACTGAATAT